TTTTATTTTTTAATTATATTTTTTAATTATATTTTATTTATATTGTATATTAAAAAGAAAGTGCAGAACAAACAGTTCATGCATACCTGCAAAGCACTAATAATACATTAGCATTATCTATACATGTTTTGCATTATTACAGTATAATTTTTTATGCTTAAGGTGAAAAATTATGTGTTTTATTTATTTTGATATAAATATTTAAAAAAAAACATACATATATGATGCATATAAGAAATGTAAATCTCGAAAAAATAAGTTATAAAAAAAATGAAAAATATTTTTACCCAAAATTTATTTCCTATGGTAAAAGATCACATATTCAACATGAATTAAAAATATATTAAAATAATAATCCGCGATATGCTGTGATCTTTTATGTACCTTTTTCAGTTCTTCCTGTATCTTCTCTTCGATTTCACACAAATCTCTATCTACTTCAGCCTTCTACAAGCCAAAACATAAGAAAACAAAATCATAAAAAAACGAAAAACGATACAAAATAGATAAATAATTAAGGCATTGTGCTTTTCTCTATTACTTTCTTTCTTTTCTTTTTTTTCAAGTGTATCATTCAATTTAAGATTAATCACAATTATGTAATATGTGTCGAGATTATTAATTCTTTATTTATATAAAACAATATTTGATTCACAATATATAGAAATTGAAATAAAGTAATAGCAAAAAAAAAATAATAATAAATTAAAATAAATCTCTATTTTAAAGCTTCTATAAATATTGAACATTTATTTAATGCGATCTATATTATTGTTTGTGTTAGATAGTATATCGAAATATACTGGTGTATGCAAAGTGGAAATATATATTTTCTATCTATTTATTATTACTTTATTACATTACTGTATTCATTGAAGATTGTTATCGTAAAAGATCGGAATTGTTTTGAAAAAGCAATGTATAAACAACAACTGCAAATAGTTGTGTTTAAAAAGCAGCGCACATTCACTAAGCAAGCCATTAATCGATACATTAAGGAACTATTGTTTACCTGCGCTTTTAAGTCATTTAATCTCTTCTGCGCCTCACCCTTTTGATTCCCGAGCTGTTTCAAGGTTGCCGCTAGTGTGTCCAATTCACTTTGAAGGCTCTTAATTTCTCCGTTTTTTATTTTAATATCTGCTTCCTTTTGCGCTATATCCTGTTCCATGTTTTGTCTTTCACGAACAAGCTCTGCTATGTCTTTACTTATCATATCTAGTTCTGGATTTGAATAACCTGATATGTTATTGTTTTCCTGCAGTATAAACATATCAAAATATTAATATCTCTCTGAGCATTGTTATAATATATCCAATCATACAATGCAATGTATATATTTTTAGATATTAATCTATATCAAGAAAAATAAATGATATCAAAAAAATTTTTGTAATTACAAATTACAAAAATTTCGATTAACTTAATTCAAATAACGATTATGATGTAAAAATAAATCGTTAATTGTAATAATGAGTTGTTAATTAAAATGATAATTTTACATTTAGATAAATAAATATAATTCCATATAATTAGAGATAAGAAATCAGATGGATGAAGAAAATTATAAGGGCAAGAAAAAAAGAGAATAAGGCCAAAGAAAATCCAGAAAAAAAATAGAAAAAGGAAATCAGATAAGTCTGAAGAGCCTATCAAAGCCAAAAGGCGAGAAATAAATATCTATTTATAATTATCATATATATTCTGCAATATTTCCTAAAAAAAAAAAAAAAAAACAGAGGATCGACATTTTATTCATACTTTATCAGCGAATAACTTCACAGTGGCTTTCTGAATAGTAATCATGAAGATATATAAGTTGTCTGTGTTAGTTTGTTATTTAAGCAATGTATTATTTTGGCACATAGGTAATTATATACACATAAATAATTTCAATCTATTTATATAATAATTTCCTATAAATTTAGATGGTAACATATTTCTGGATATTGATGAATATGAATATCCAAGAACTAACGAAACTTTAAGACAATTACATAAACAACAGTGGCTAAATTATTATAAGTGTTTGAAAGAAATATATGCAGATATAGGGCATGAGAAAATTATTTACCCGACTGCACTCATAGCATTAGAAGGAACATCTATAACGTGCGCTCAATAAAGATAATTAATAAAGATATATGTTGAAATTCATAATACGTAATTATGATAAAGTTTGTGCAATTTAATTTACAGTTTGAAGTGTCAAATTTGCATTTCGCCTATGGAAATGCATATGGTTAATTTAATAAAGTGGTATTTCAATAGTAGCAGTACAAACGGTACTGTTAAAAATACAGTACAAAATACTAATCATATTTTCAATTCACCCGATAACCAATATATCATCATGTATAATGTCAAAGTATAAATTCAAAGCACATATATATATATATATATTTTCTAT